TTCCTCCCGCCTATTCTGTTCGACGATGGATCGGCCAGCGTTGGTTCCCGATCGAGCCATGGCGGCTGCAGGAGCATGTATGGGGACGGTTTCTGTAATTTCAACGTAGTTAGCTGGTACGACACCCTCTTTGCCATTCTTGAGCCGCCTGACTTTCCACCACTCATCACTGGCAGAATCGTCGATAACCAAGATCTCATCGCCAAGACCGACGGTAACCTCGTCATCGCCCTGTGCCATGAAGTCGAATAGCATGACACCCTTCTTCTGCACATTAGAATTTCCGGAGCCAGCAGCTATCACCTCGCGCAGTCCTGCGCTCTTAGCGGCTCCGGCAAGCTCACCAAGAGCCAGCATTATCTCAGATGCAGTGTCTTTAGCGCCGCAATGAAAATCAACGCTCTTGCTTGGCTGTTTCAGCTCCATGAATATGTGCTTGCCCTCTTGTGAGTAGTACTCCATCTTATCTGCGCTCCACTCCTGTTGTGGTCCATCGCGCGACTTCTCGGGCGCAATCATAATCATTCCTTTCGGGATGTTGACGCCCAGCGTGATTGGCATTTTCTTATTCTTGCCTGGCTGCGTGATGTACTCGTAGATGTTATACAGATGATATCCAGAGCCGGACATGGGCGTCGCGGGCTGCTCGTCCCTACTTGGAGGATCATACTGGTCAAATGTGACGCTCCGGGGTGGAGGCGATCTGACCGGAGGTGATGGGGACCGCGCATGCGTGTATTGAGTCGGTGGGGGCGAGTGTATTTCGGATTCGGGCCGCGTGGGAAGACGAGGCGGTGGCGCTTCTTCGTCCGACTCTTCCGGGGTAAATTGCACGCGTCGTTGTTGTTTTGGAGGCGCGGTTACATTAGGTGGGGGTGAGATGGTCGATCGCGGAGCTGCCTCTTGCGACTTCTTCTGTATAATGCCAGCCAGGGCGGCAGCGGGACTCTGCGTTGGGGGAGTGTCAGGAGTAGGCGGCTGGTCGTCGTCAAAAGAGTCCCTCGCTGCCGGCATTGGCGGGCGACTTGGCAGCGCTGGAGATGCCACTGCTGGTGCTGCTGGTGCTGCTGGTGCTGCCGCATCGTCTTCGGTAAGCTCGATGTAATTCGCAGGCGCAAAGCCATAGTCGCTTTCGACTCCGACCAGTGTCCAGTCGGGATCTGTGGTGTCGTAAACGTCTAGAATGGCATCTTCCTTGAAAGAGAGCTCTTCGTCTGTCTGGCGGTCGTAATCGAATAGGGCTTTGGCGCGGGCGATGGGTGCGGCCTGTAAACATTGTCAGTCTCCAGACTACAGGAATCTTTACAAACGGTGGTGTTGTGTGTGGTATAGCTTTGCGACCCAAGCTGGGCTCTGTGCTGTGGACGAGGCGCAGCATACCTCTTCAATATAGTTGTTCGGAATCAAGCCCTCGGGCTCTTCATCGTCTCCATCGCGTCCCTTCTTCTTCGCTTTCCACCAGGCGTCAATCGTCGACTTCTCCAGGACCATCAAGATGTCGCCCTCGTCAAGGGCGATCTCATTGCTGCTCTGGGGCTCATAGTCGTAGATGGCGCGGTATATGCCTAGGAACACCATTGTGGCGGCTACGAGGGCGGCGCGGACTCAGAACGTGTGTACGGCGTGTCGGAATAGGTTGTGAAATCTATGTACAGCCTGTGCCGATGCGCATAAGCTCGGCGGAGGGCCACGGGGGTGCTGTTGCCGTTCGAGGGGCCAGCTGGACAGGGGGAAGCTGCTTGACGCTACCAAATCGGCGGCCAGCAGCTGGAGAAGCAGAAAACAGAGGGGTTCGAATAGGATAACTTGCTAGGAGCGCTCGATAACCGGGACTGCGGGGATGCTCGTGCTGTAGCAGCCGGGAGTGGTGAGACAGATGGGAGTTGGGTCGACGATGCTTGTGAGCGACTCAGCACGAGCCAATCTGCCTTGTCCCAGACGGTCCCCACACCGACGTCAACCCGCTTTCATCCCATGTTCCTGTGACTGGTCAAGCATGTCGGCGAACCACTTTGTGCATGACAAGCTCACATGTTTCTGTTGTTGCCTGGGTACGTTGCTCCCTCACGACTCACCTGTCTGGACTCATTGACGCGGAATGGTGCCCAATTGCACAGGGCATACGTAAGCATGGTCAGAACTAGGCGGCACTGTAATGCGACTTGGGAATACTGGTAGAGTAGATTTTTCTCAGGGTCTGCCTTAGGTCAACCGCATTCTCCTCTACGCTCTTCGCCTAATAGGTGAATTTGAAACCCTCCGTCCCTTCCAATAGTCGCTTTCCCCTAGTCTGCCGCTTGTTCGAAATGTAGAAGAACACCGAGAACACACCAACTAGTCCGATGATCAAAATGTGGCTCCCTATGCTCACCCAAATCGCCGTCATATACCTCGGACTCTCCGGTTGTCTGACAATGAAGCTTCCAGCAATACCTCCTGCTCCGTTGAAGGCTGTGACCATCGCGGCCGTGAACACCCTCTTCCACTGGCCGCAGATATTGTTCGCTTGATAAGTCGCCATGGCAGCCCAGTTCGCCACGTATGCTCCAGTCGCAAGATAGGTGCCGATATATCTCACTGTGACTTGGTCTGAGAAGCCCAGCATGCAAAACCCGATAATTAGAGAGACGCAGTTGAAAACTATGATTGGCCCTCTTAGCTGAAACTTGTCGCCGATGATCGAGGACAAGATGGCGGGGAGAACCGCGTAGTAATAAGGCGGCGCAGAGAGCAAGATCGATTTATCAGAAGAGAAGCCCATTCCGCCTTGCAGAATGATGGGCAAGAAGTAGGAGAGCGACGTCGAGACAAGGTTCTGCAGGAAGTAAAGGATGCAGAATCCGTAGACTTTTGCATCTTTGGCGTGAACAAAGACTTTGGACCAAGCAAAGTCGTCAGGCTTGACATCGCCTCGGTCCTTTTGAATGCGAGAAGATGCCAACGCGCTCTCGTGGGGCGTGAGGAAGTAGAAAGAGTTCTGCGCGTGCTCGGGAAAGTCGACCATCCACCAATAGGTCAAGATGCCAAAGAACGCAGTGATGCTCCCTTGCACGACGAACATCCATTGCCATCCCTTGAGATATTGGCCATCAAGCTGGTTGAGCCCGAAGTTGACGATACCGCCCGTTGCCAAGACAATGACTTCTCCACTCTGCATCAGGGCAAAGCGAAGCTGTTGCTCTTTCCGCGTGTACCACGTCGAGATGAGATACGTCAATCCGGGGTAGATACCCGACATGGCGATACCAAGTAGGATGCGAAGTGCAATCATTTGCCGCCATGTCTGTACGAAAGCCGTGCACAGTGTAATGATGCCGAAACAGAAAGTGATCAAGGCGAACCAGATACGCGGACCAAAAGTGCGCACAGCAATTGTTGACGGCAACTGGAAAGCAATGCTTGCAATTGTGAAGATGAAGATAGAGACCGAGTATCTGTTACCGATGTCCAGTTCTAGGTCGCTGAGCATCGACGTAACGGATGCGCTGGATATCACGCCACTGTCGAGTAGATTGAGCGAGCACAAGATACCTGCGATGCTGCAAAGTCGAAGGTCAACCTTCATGCGAATGCTGTTGCGCCACTCTTCTTCGATCCTATCTCTTTCTTGGTCGTCGGACTCATCATACGTATCGTCCTGTACTTCTCGGATTGACTCATCCGCCGAGTGTTGGCTGGCTGCGCTCTTCGTCATGTTTTTGCGGTTGTGATGAATGAGGGGTGGCAGGTCTGCACGACGAAGAATTCATCATGTAGGTCGTACATGGAAGTAGCCAGAACAATGCTTATCGTAGCACACTCGAAATTGGTGTACATATCCGGCCTGCAGAAGCTCCGCACTTCTCAGGTGCAGATCTCCGGTTACTTACCGAGGCGCGGTTCCGCACACCAATTCCGCAACGAATTACTTAGCAATGACCAATCCACTACTGTGGAGATCTGCACGCCACCCTACACAAGAGACAAACCGAACAGGTAGAGATAAGAAGCTCTACCTTGCAGCTTACATTAGCTTCTAAGAACAGAGATTATAAAGATCAATAGAATTGTAGACTTCTAGGATTTCTATTAATTTTTATATAGCTCTAATATAATTTGTTGTAGTAGGAAAGTACTCTGCTCTAAAAAGATATTTAGTTTCTCTCTTTCACGTAGTGACGCGGTTCTCATAGATCCGCCAGTCGCAAATGTGATTAAGCATGTCACAAGTCCCTTCACAGTGAGGCACGAGGCTGAAAGATCGGAGAGATGAGACCAACATACGGGAAGACAAGTGCAACTCCGACGTGCGGTTTTGGTACAAATCACGATCCTCAGCAGTGGGAACATCGTGCTTCTGACAGCTTGGTTTCACGCACAATGTGATACATCAAATAAACAATCGCGTCAAGTTATACACGAGCTAGTACGACGCTTTACCCTGAAGGCGGGAGTGGCCTATATCGCACACAGCTTTGAATATTGAACATCAAGAGACAACAGTCGGTACTGGAAGAGCTCCTCTCGAGTAAGTGGAATGGTATTGATTTTCGTCCGATGAAGGAGGACCCTTTCTATTGTAGCCACTGGCACTCCAGGCCAGTGGTTGGGTATTCTCGCCAAGCTAGATAGCGAGTGTGGGTATTTGATCGTAACAGATAAAACAAGAAGATAACAGAAGTAAAAAATGATAGTCCACACATCTGCAGACAGGAATAGAAAGCAACAACATAACTCCCAACGTCCGAGTGAGTGCCGTATGCTCCGACCGCCCTACCGTGTGTGTGTGACCCAATCCCACCCAGTCCCTAGCTAAGACAATTTGTGTGTGAAAGCGTCCATGACTGACAACAGGGGTAAAATGCATAAGCCAACCGGATTTCCCAAAAGCACTCGCTTCGTAAGTCGTGAAATGAAGGGGAGCTCCCGAAAGGAACTGTCAAGAATATCAGATGTCGAAATTAAAGAGGTGTAGAAGTCGAATCGTAGAAGGAACATGAGATGTTGGCGGCGATGGGAATCTAGCCCTCGTCTTCAACATCATCGTCGTCCTCTTCTTCGTCCTCTTCACTTGTGCTGTGACGCTGCACAGCACCCGCCTTGTTCTTCTTGATAGTTGGTGTTCCCTTGAGCTGCGTCGCGGATGCCTTGCGCTTTGGCCCAGAGCTGGCGGGCTTGGAAGGCATGGATGCGTTCTCCTTGTTGCCATCTTCACCCTCGCCTTTTGCAGCCGCATTGTCCATTGCAGCCACCTCTTCTGCCGTCAAGAAGCGACCACCTGGACCACGGGGACGGCGCATGGCGTGATTGTGTCTGGACTCATGCAGGTATGGCTTTCGTCCCTTGGACGTCAACCTCAGCGCATCCTCAAGCTTTTGCCTCGCGAGACGTCTCTTCAAGATGCGATGGAACTGTTTAGCATTCACGTAGAGCGGCGCCTCCTCAGGCTGCGCTCCTCCGGCGACGAGCTCTGGTGACTGTTGGTGTTGGGGTTGCTGGGTCATTGGAGGGACTGAAGGCCTGGGCCCGCCGTGGTTCATTACAGGCTGGGGTTGCTGCATTGCGGGGCTGCTGATCTGCGTGCTCATACGTCGTTGTTGTTGCATCTGAGTCGGCGTCATCACTTGAGATGGAAGCGCACTGTTCATCGCATTGGAGACATTGGTCGGAGATCGAGGAGCTACGCGTCCGTCGCCCTTCATCTGAGACACCGACATACGTGGAGATGCGCGCGGGTCCTGTGCGAGTTGACCGGGAATAGCATTCTGGTCATAGTATCCAGCCGGACCAGCAGCAGCGGCCGTGGCTAACGCTGCAGCCTGCTGGTGCTGTGCCTGTTGAGATGCCATGTAAGGGTTCTGCATGCCAGCGGCCATGTACGCTTGTTGTTGCGGAAACCCCATTTGCTGGTGGTGTTGAGGGTGTGGCGCACCGCCATGGTTGTAACCCTGAGAGGGGAGGATTGGAGAGGATTGTTGACCGAACTGTTGCATCTGCTGCTGGGTGGGTGCTGGCCCATGATGGGATTGCGAAAATTGGGCGTAGTCGGTCATGGTGAAGATGTCTCCAACGTTGGCTTGTTTGGTGGTTAGAGACGAGATAGTGGGAGGATTACAGTAGGCGCGTAGCGCAGGTAGGCTGGGTCGCGTTCAGGGCAGGGTCAGCTCTCGATGTGTTGTCAGTGGCCACGCTTAGTTGAGGCGACTTCGCTAGAGCGCACGGCTGGAGCCTTGAGTTTGGAGGCGCGAAGATTGCGATTGGGCGCCGAGAGGGCAGTGCGCGTTTACAAGTGGTAAAGCGTTTTGTCGAGGGTGAAACTGCACTCTAGAGGGCCGCGCCGTAGTGGGGAATAGTCGTTGCGGGTATTCACCAGTTAGAAATGAAGATGAGGACTGTCTACACAGTTAGGAGTACTGTCAGCTAATGATGTCGAAGTTGGCATGTGCTGGCTGGGCGGGCGATGCGTTGGCACATTGGCAGTCAAGGGTGCAACGTGCATATGCATGACGGTGGACACTTACCTTGATCAGTAGCAGCGCGTATTGTCGGTTGCTGCGCCGTCGAGATGACAAGTAGGCTTAGATACCTTTCGGCTTTGAAGCCTAGGGCGACCAGCGAGCGGACAAATGTATATTGTCGTTGCGCAGGTGACAGCAGCGTGGTCCAAGTAGCGGGCAGAGAGCGCGATACAAAGAGGCTTGGTGGGCTGTGTGTTGCGGAACTAATGCGACGTCAGCCCTTGAACATGTGAAGCGCACGCGTAGTGTCAGAGCATGCGGTCTGCTCGTAAAGAAAAACCAGAGAGGCAACAGCGCGTCATGTCGAAGGGACGTGGTATGGCGCTGCGACGACAATGGCCGTGTCTGAATGGATGCGCCTTCCTTCAAGATGTCTCCATGATGAAGTGGAAGCGAATGCGATTTAGAGCCGCTGGCGTACAAGCAAAACGAACATCGCGACGATAGGCGCAACGAGCACGCGTGTGCAGATCAGGGCGCGAGGATGGGGTTGACTTACCAATGGGTGTTGCGGTCTGCAGCAAAATGCGATCCCGTGATCTATTGCTCCACGGTCTGTGGTTGGGGAGATTTGCGAGTCGAGGTTACAGGCCGATCTTCTTGACTTGACGACCAGACGCGAGCCAACTGATGCAGGACGGAACCTTTGAGCGCAAGCGCAGGGTAGAGAGAGAGTTTTGTGTATTTCTTATATGTCTTGTTGTATAGTTGTGCTTGCTGGAGCCCCGGACGCGTTGAAGATGCGTAGAATGATCGTGCTAAAATGCTCTGGGGAGGAGGACCAGATGATTGGAAGGCGCGAAAGAGCTCAGGAAGGAGCGGTCGGCGACGCCTATAATTCGATGACCCGCCGACACGCTAAGCTCACTAGCGGCTCGCAGGGATTGTGGCCCCATACTTGTGGGCAAGACAGCCACACTGGATTCTCGTCCTCAACGGGACAGTTGGCCAGGTGCAACAGAGGCAGACAGCACGCATCACTGTTTCCATGTGCTTTCATCTAGAAGAATGCATCTTGGTCTTGGGTGATTGAAGTTGTTCTCGGGAAGCTAACGAGTGAAGCGGGGTTGGCGCAAAACCCCGACGTCCCGAGGCTCAACCGATGACGTGGGTAGAGTAGACACGTGCTTCCAGCTTCAGCCCAGCGCCAAATCGCTCATGTTTTTCACAACTCTGTGTAATTCCCCTTCCACTTCGAAATTGAATTTTAGCTTCAGGCAAATCACAGTGCACACATGATCTGGAAGACAGGGCATTATGCTGGTACCAGCTTTTCGATTGGCGCGTCCTTGGAAATTGCTCCGCCCCCAGACGGCAGATCCGTTGCAGGTTGGGTACCATAGTACGCCGGTACGGGCGGGCGCCAAACTCTGAGCTGGCTCTGCCCTGGCAAGACCCATCCATCTATTTGATCACGCCTTGACATAAGGGGACGAGAAACAACAGCCTCGTTGCTCACTGTTGCAACATGTGACGCTTGCTTCACCGGCAAGCAGTGTGCTTGCGCATCTGACAGAGCACCGCGGAGTTGTGAACACACACCCTTCCGTGGAGAGCCCGACGCCCTTCAGCCGCCACGCATGCCTCAGGCGACGCGCTGCTTCGCGCTCGACTAGAAGCCGCCACTGCTGTCTCTTACGTCTATTGGCCCAGCTTCTGTCTCGCCCACGTCTCAAGAAAGCATTCAACATCATTTAGAGAGCTCCATGCCATGTGACAACACGGGGAATGATAATGAATGATACTATTCCATCCTTTCCTTGCACATCCTGATATGAATGTACGCAGTATGCACCGCCGTCACGTTAACTGTATAGTAAGCACAACAGAACGCGAATGCAGGTGGGCAAAGTCTGACCCCCCAACCCGAGCCGCTTCAGCGTCCAAGCTTGCGATCGTCACGTTGACCCTGCTTTGCATGGAGAAAAGAGTGTGCTCATGCCGCACAAAACAAAAGAAAGGCTCCTGTTCTACTTTGAATCTCGACTCGTCGAGCCGAGACGCGTACTGTCCTTGTCTCAAGATCGGTAGGCCTCAAGACCAGCCACTGACATTTCCCGCCACACACCACGCTGCGTCATCCTCCTCGGACCCAAGGCAACGGTTCGGCCGCTCGCAAGTCACACAATTTTGTTGATACTTCGGCCCATTTACTCTAACATGTGCTTTTCGTCCGGCGGCTGAAGATGGATGTCATCTCGAAAGCAACCACCACATGAAATGCAAGGGGAACAATTCCTTGGCCAGAAGCTCGCTTCGCGCTGCCTTGATCCCGACCCTACCTTTGCCGGCATAATGTCAGGAGTTTTGGCACTGTCAGACGCTCTGGCACCTGTTATGGACTCCGTTCGAGATACTGCACCTCCATCTATACGGGTTCCACAGCAGTCAATCAAATGCCTCACTTCCGCCATTGCACCATTCGCGCGACACGCGAACCCAAGTACCAGAACGGTGCCGATGCAGCTCGGCTACGTATCTGCCACCAGCCCTGTACCGCAGCGTATCAGTTTCGATTGCTCATCGCGTTAATCTAATCAGGTTACATCTTCCGCTGGTGTGCATGGCCCCCTCCACACACACAACCCACGCGTTCATCCTTGGGCGACCATCAGCTCAATGCCGTGCAGCACGCGAGAATCCTACAGGAAGTTGACATTTGAATCATCAGCTGCTTCTGTGCCACACTTCTTCCACTAATCTCACTTTCATTGCGGTCGACTTCTGAACCTTTACCTCGATAATGAATGCGTGGGTGATTGTATTGGGCTTCTGTTGAAACGCTGTTCGGCTTGAGCAAATGCTGACCCGCCACCCGCAGCCGTCAGTGTTGCTCTCCACCTCGGATCGGGATAATGGTCGTGTTCAGCACATCCCGGATGAAACCGTTGCTCCAGTTGACAAGGGAACATCGGTGAAGCACCTGTCGCGTGCACCACCGTGCTCGTTTCATCTTGATCTTACTGCACATTGCGGCTCTTACAGTATTTGATGTGCGATTGGAGTTCGCGCCTCCGCAGATCCCCCAGACGTTCAGCATTGCGCCCACTGTACCGCACCGCACCAGTCATGGTCTTCAACTGCGGCTTACCAGCCTGTAAGACAGACGCTCTGAGCGGCGCTTATGAAACACCACTGGACATGATGTCTCGTGCTCAACAAGGTATCACGGTTTTCAATTTCAGTACCTTAATCCTACCAGTTCTACCAAAAAAAAAGGCACCATCAGCAATATCCACCGTAGAAGCGGAACCGGAGCAAGCGACTAGAGAAACATGTCACCGGCACCGTATACAATAGAAAACTCAAACGTGTATAGGAATAACACGCCCTAGTTTACCGCCTACGTTAGCCTCTAAGAAGAAATTCTAGATAGATTAATAGCATTGCAGACTTCTAGGTTCTCTATCTATATCTAGAAAGGTCTTAACACGCTTTGTTATAGTAGGTATAAGTACTTTACTCTAAAGAGATGTTCAGTTTCTCTTTGAGGTAGTGACGGTGTTATTACAGTCCATGTGTCATGCTTTGTTCACTGGTAAGATCTCCGGTAATCCTTGACGACAATTAGTCAAGCGGGGCGATCGGGCTATTAGAAGACGACTTCCAAGGTGAAGAAAAGACAGGCAAGAAAGAAGAAGCATCAAGTTGTGCACGTCCACGGCCTGCGTCCGAGCTGCGAGTCACTCACGCATCAGGTTGCAGGATGTCAGACACGCTGTCTCATATGCCCCAGAATATACAACAGATAGAGGAAATGGACAAGGACAGCATATGCAATGGACCGACACCCAGTCCTGAGTTCAACACGATCCTGTTTCATCACAGAAGATTAACGGCTAGCTAAAAGAGGAAACCACTTTTGTAGAGATCTTAGAAACATTTATCACCTAAACAATCCACCTCAATCAACATGAGTCTCACGAAATTCTACAAGTGGTTCAAGAGCGGAAGGGTACCAAAGCTCTTTGTATCTTGAGGCGTGCATACTATCACATATCCAATTCCTATAGCCGACCTTCCACGTAGACTACGGATAGTCGTACTGAACTACATGCGTCGTGTCATGAAGAGCACTAGTACCCAACTATCAAGCAACCATACCGCTCTTGTCCTTTACAGATTTGTCGTGAAGGCAAACGCCTACCGTGGGTGAGGGCGAGCTCGCGAATAGAGGTGAAGTGAGTTGATTCTAGAATCGCAACCAAGACGGTGTGTTCACCCGCTATCAAGTGCACGGGTGACGTGAGTAAGTCTGATGTCCCATCTTCTAATAGGGGAGTAGCCGTGTATGTCAACTTGGTGGTATTCAACTGCGTACCCATAGATCTTGTTTCGTATCTCTCCTGGAAGTTTGAGTAAAGGAGATTGAAGTGAGTTGCGTTTTGTACTGCCGCAATTTAGTACTCGGACGATGTGGCTGCTTCGCACTGAACTTATATCTGCATCAGACCTGACTGGTTGGTAATGGTTGTCTTCAACAACCCATTTCTAGCCTTGAGATAAGACTGCGATAACTTGCGGGGGCCAAGAGC